ACGCGGCGGCGGCGCGCGGCGGGACTATGACGGAGACGGGGGCTGCGCGCGACGACACGTTGCGGACGAGCGCGCCAGGGGCGCCCTCCGGGGGGCCGCGGGATGTGACGTTCCCCACGAGGGTGGCGTTGCCCAGGGCCTCCTCGGCTTGTGTGGTGGCGTTGCGGGCCGCGCGCGCGAGCTTGGCGGTGAAGATGGCTGGGCAGGGGGGCCGGCCGCAGGTGCGGGCGCAGGCGTTCTCGCGGATCATGAAGTCCTTGTCGCAGGCGCCGTACTCGGCCTGGTGGCGGAACCAAGGACGTTTGCGACGCGAGGTTGCGATGCGGGTCGCTTCGGGGCAGCAAGAGTGGGTTGCGCATGTCCCCTGACGGCATTGGCGCTATCCGCACTGTCACGCTGCAGACACCCCTGTTGAGCATCTAACTTCACTGTTGAGCGGCTCTCTCATTGTTGTGCTCTGCTGGGAGTGCACAACATTCTCAGTTCTAGTAGCGTAGCAGTGATGCGAATCAGCAGCAGGTGCGCAGCCCGCGCCCCACCTGCTGAGCGCACGAGTAGTTTGAGCCAGCTGGGGGCACGTCCGTGCAGCCCGGCGGGACGCCGCTGGGGCCGGGCGGGGGTGGGACGGCGGTAGCGCACGGCCAGCGCTTGCAGGTGTCTGTGCGGGCAGCAGCGGATTGAGGGGTGTCAAACGGTCTTGTGGCCGCGGCAGCTGTGCGCCTCCCGAGCTAACCAGTCCACACGCGCCTACAATTACCAAGTTGCTTCAAAGTAACTACGTGAAACTGCCTCCGACACAGTGCAACAAGTCAGGCAAATCGCTCACCAGCACAGAAGCCGCCCTCGAGCATCCATGACGCCTCGCACGCCCCGAACTTCTTCTGCTGGGCGCAGGTGTAGTTGCTGCCCGGGGGCTTCTTGTCAGTGCAGAGCTCCGGCACGGCCGCCACCGCAATCACGCGGCGGGGAACGTTGTGGCAGGCGGTCCTGCACGACGGGGGAGGGGCGGTGCCGCATGTGGATCAATGGGCGGAATTTTCAGGATTGGGCGGGCTAAGTTTGGGTGGATGGGATGCAGACAAGCACAACAACCGGGGCCGTTCGGCTGGCTGGTTTGGCTGCAGGTTGCAGTTGGGTACCACGTCGTGTGTGTGCATTTCCACCCCTCTGCCTCTCAGGGTGGGCTCGCCTGTTGCAGGTATGGGAGCAGTAGCTGCCAGATGTCATGAACTCCTTATCGCACGCACCAAACTTGGCCTGCACACACAATGAGGAGATGTTGCTGCATCCTTGCATCGGTGCTTTGCTCAACAAGTCTGTTCAACAGGCAAACAAGGACAGCAGAGATCGATCCGCTCCAAGATCAGCGATGTGTCAGGCTCAGGCTGGCGGAGCGACGAAGGTTGGTGGAAACATCAAGAATCAGCACTGGCGTGCGCCCTGTGACAGCAGGCGCCTGCCCATTCAGGGTCTCGGCCACGTGCCGGGTAGCTTGCAGATGGAACGTCCAGGGTCGGCAGCGCGCTCCCACCTGCTGTGCGCACGTGTAGCGCGAGTCCGGGGGCACATCCGTGCACACGTCACCGGGCTGGGTCGGGTAGACGTACCACTGCTTGTTGCCGCTGGACTCCACACGCAGCAGGCGCCGGGGCAGGCCATCTGATTGAGGTGAGGCACAGAGGTGGAGTAAGCATTGGGCGGGTCGAGGGTGACCGGGGGTTCAACATGGCTGGGCAGTTAGGCAGGTCAGGAGCTGCAGGATGGTGGCCGATGTGACGCGCAGCTGGTATGTTGATTGTGGGGGTGGGATGACTGGGCACACACAATTTTCAAGCAGGCCAACGCACAATGTGATTACACTGGTCTCTTGCAAATGTCAGGGGCGCAGGGGCGTGCACGAGTGCACGAGGCTGCAATCGGGGGGCAACTGCGTGGTGAAACACACGAGGTTGTGGCCTCACCGGCACGGACAGGGGCTGCGGCCAACATCAGCCCACATAGACACCACGCTAAACACCCCACCAGGTGCCGCCTCATGGCTGCCGAATCCGAGGTGCGTTTCCAGAGGGGCCGATCAAGGCGACTGCAACAAGCTGCAAGATGGCGTGCTCAATGCGAGAGGAATCCGGTCATGTATGACAGGAGCAATTCGAAGGCTGCCGACACCCTAATCCCGTTGTCCATTTTTCGCCCGGGCGCTCGGAGGTTGAACTCCGCACGCGAGTCGTTGAGTTCCTGACTACCTTGTTAGCCACGACCATTCAGGGTTTTTTGAGAGACCAGAATATCCCCGAATCAAGAAACCTAGGCAGTGTAGCGTCCATCGCACTGCCTGAGGCGGCTGTGTTTGCAGGTGTTGACCAGTCAACAGTGGGGGATGGGCAGCATCTGCGTGCATCTTTGCGTGCGATGGCAGAATCGCACACTTCGCCATCTGTCGCCCAAGCAAGAACGCACTTGCAAAGATGACCACAGCTAAGCAAAGCCAAACTTGGAGGCGTGCTGCTGCGGTCAGCCGGGCCCTGCAAACTGACAGAAGCCCTCAATTAGCAAGCACTCGTGCCGTAAGAAGCAAAGCCAGTTACAACAGCCGCGAGACACACGCCAGCTGAGGGGCAGTTCTCGTCTCTTCCACGCACCCCACCCATGCCCCCTCCCAGGCTGCAGGCTCCTCAACAACTGCCCTGCAGCCGGCAAGCCCTGCTGACTGGGTTCCGCAGCCGTTCCATCGCTGGGTGCAGCACGACTCAGCATGATTACCCCAACAACCCAGCAATGACATCATCATGACATCACACAATGCGCTCCAGCTCCTTGGCGTACATCAGGGCGTTCTGGATGAGGGCCACCCCAGCGGCGCCCGCGCCACCGCCGCCGCCGCCCTCTGCGCCGTCCACGTCCATACCGTCGCCGGCCGCGCCCCTGGCACCAAACGAGACAAGATCGCCCTTCACCTCCCAGCCGCGCTGCGCGTACAGGTGCAGGTTGATGCACGGCAGGCATCATGCATGTCACTCTTGAGGGAATCGGCGGGGTCACGCGGAAGGGGGTGGCAATACACAAAGAGAGCGGGCCTGTGCAGAGGCACAGCTCATGCCTAACGCCGATTGCCCTGCTCACAACTTCTGGATGTGGCCTCTTGGCTGCCCCTTCACGCCGCGCGTCAAGCACGCCCCCTCACCTGCTCTGCGTACGCCGCGGCCTCCTTGGCGCTCTTGAACATCATCAGCCGCTGCGTGTCCCCCAGGGTCAGGCTGGCGTACGCGCGCTCGCTGCAGCTGGCAATCTCGTCGCGCACCGTGGAGGTGAGCTGGTCGATGTAGTAGGCCGCAAACTCGCCGGGCAGCTGCTGGCTTGCACCCAGGACCTGGCAGGGGTACCACGGGAGGCGCAACTGGGTGACGGCTGTGTTTTTTTGAAAAAACGCACGTGTGTGTTGTGATGAGAAAGCGGGCGTTACCGTAGGGGCCATGGATGATGCCAGGGGTGATTTGGAGGAAAGCAGCAGCACGCAGGCTTTGCACAGGGTTGAATGGCATGGCAGGGCGTGCAGGGCATGATGTCGGCAAGGGGAGGCGCACCAATAGGCATGGGAGCGTGGAAGCCCGCGGACTTGCAGGCCTTGAGCACAGGCTGTGCCCTTCTGTCGAGCTGACTGCTTGCTGCACACAATTCGCAGCCAACCTCGCCGATAAATGACCCGGTGTCCTCGCACCACTGCCCCAGTCATCGCCCATTCTATCTCAGCCTTCTCATAACAATCTCACGGCCGAAGGACTGACCGCCCACCTGCACCACACCCCTGTGCCC